TCCAGAATCACGTCTGCTGCTTTCACTTGCGGGGCAAAAGTGTCGGATGGACACGAAGCTTCCAGAATCACGTCTGTTGCTTTCACTTGGGGGGCAAGAGTCTCGGATAGAGACAAGGCTTCCAGAATCACGTCTGCTGCTTTCACGTTGGGGGCAAAGGTCTCGGATGGAGACAAGGCTTCCAGAATCACGTCTCTTGCTTTCACTTTGGGGGCAAGGGTCTCGGATGGAAACAAGACTCCCAGAATCACGTCTGCTACTTTCACTTTGGGGGCAAAGCTCTCAGACAGCAAGGGTGGCGCCTTGCTCTCCCATAGGGAAAAAGCTAGCTCCAGGCCTGCAATGCACCAAATGTGCAGTTTTGGCATAAGCCATTTTTTTCGAACCTTCTGCGGTGTCAAAATGGCTGCTTCTGTGCGTTTATCGCTTGTGCCTCGGTCTTCAATAGGACCTGCCATAGAAAAAGCAAGCTCCAGGCCTGCAATGCACCAAATGTGCAGTTTTGGCATAAGCCATTTTTTTCGAACCTTCTGCAGTGTCAAAATGGCTGCTTCTGCGCGTTTATCGCTTGTGCCTCGGTCTTCAATAGGACCTGCCATAGAAAAAGCAAGCTCCAGGCCTGCAATGCACCGAATGTGCAGTTTTGGCATAAGCCATTTTTTTCGAACTTTCTGCGGTCTGGTGAGTTGCAAAGACTTCGCGAGTGCAGCTCTGTCCTCTACTGTACTGTGCTGTGCCTCGCGTAGTATGCTATGACACACTGCAGGACGGCCTGCAAACGTGTCAAAAGATCTGAAGGCTCAACCTTCGAAGCATTCAAGCAGAATCGCAGTCACACTCTCAGACATGCTCGCTCCCGTTGTGAGAGGATCCGTGCTGATCATGACCTGCGCCTTCGTTAAGACCGCCCGCATGGCCAGCACCGTGTCCCTCGCCCTCACCAAGACGACCGCCAGCACCATGTCCCTCACCCTCACCAAGAGGACCGCCCACATGGCCATCACCGTGTTCACCCCCACGCTGACGCCGCAAGAGCCATAGCAACTCGTTCTCGCTAAGGCTGCCTGCTTTCTTTAGCAAACGCCGTCGCTTTCGAACCTGCCGTAAGACTGCCGGATATCCCGGAAAACGAGGGGGGAGGGGGGGGGTTCACTGAAGACCCGACGCACGTACGGCAGATGCGACCGGACACACGAAAGGCCAGACCCCGGACGCTGAGGCGAGCCTCGTTGTGCAAGGACTTGGTCGCCAACTTCAAGGCACTTTTAAGGGCCTGCCGTTGGGCTTTCAGGTTGCTGACCGGGTCATCCATGCTGTCGCTCTACCAGTGTCCTGCGCGGCTGCTTGTTCTCGAGCCAAGGTGACTCCAACAGTCCCCTTGCACTGCCAGTGACTATAAAGCACAGTGCTGACACTCAACTTCTCGGACCGGAAGTTGCGACCCCAAAACCTTTCCGTTTCAGACTGCTTGAGCACGTTCCCTAGCAGTGGCATGGTGAAAGCGACGACAACAGCAGAAAACTTTAAAACAGCAGTGGGTGCGCATAGGTCATGCGACGACGCTTCGGCCACACGACGGACAAGTCCTCACGCTCTAACGCATCTGTACAAAGCATGTCTTGTGGTGTCATGTGCTGACGCAAGACACGGGTCACGGATTCAAACTTTCCAGTGGCTCCCACTGCGTCAAACGCAGAAGCCCACTGTCGGGCATTAAAGAAAGCTTCTGGTGCTTGCAACAGCCAAGATAGCCAGATGTTGCTAGGCACCAAGCCCTCACTGTACCGGTTCCGGAGCTCGTGGTGTGAACGCTCCAACCATCGCTTAAATGCTGCATAGCAATGCGTGTCCAATGGTTGGAGTACAGAACTCAATCTTGCTGGGATGTAGATGAGCCTCAGCCTTTGCGCACGTGCAGTTCTCATCACCTGCTCACACAGATGGCAAGGTGCTACGTCTAGAAGCAAGTGAACCTCGAACTCAGCACGCCAAGGCTCTAAAGCTTTGCCGAGCTTTTGTAAGAAGCGCACCATCAGCGCCCCGCTGTTCCACGCAGATTTCTCTCTCCAGAGTTCCACAGGTTTGCCTGCAGTCTCAGCTTGTAGGGAGCGGAAATCCTTCACTTTTAATCGGGACTTGTTCGCAATGACGATGTGAGGCAAGTCTTGCTGCACCCTGTCGTCGTTGCAGATGACGCCGATATAAGTGAAACATCCTCGCAAGTCGCCTTTTCTCGCAAGGCTACAAGGATGCAACACAAGCGAAGGCCAAAACTCTGCTGGAGAAACTAAACCATGAGGTGATTGGGGAACATACCTCACTGCAGTTTCGTCGACATTTACCAGCAGCAGGCGCTTACCAGGCGCTCTTGCTTCCCGAGCATGGCCAATCCACCGCCAAAATGCGGCCACCTGGACAGCTGCTGGGCACAATTTCCGGGGCTAAAAAACGGTCTCGTTTTTCGAGCCTCCCTACTCATGATATATTAACAGCGGACCTCATTCCAGGTCCAAATTCTAGCCGTGTTTTTGGGCCCTTGATACCGGCCAAAAGTCTGCCCTTTTTTCAATGCTTCTGACTGCCCAGACCTGCCTTCACATGTATGCTGGGAGCGTCTAGATCCTCACGGAGGCGCAACTGTCCCCGCCGAAAATGCCACCTCCTCCGCCACCGTCTGACCCAAGCGTGAATAGACCGCTTCCGTTTCAGCTGGGGCGCGGCTTCTCCAAGAAATGTCTGGTAAGCTCTGAATGCATCTTGCGCACTGGGTGCAACACCATGCTCGAAGTTTTGTCTCCTAATCCAGGTCGCCAAGCAAACAGATGCAACGAAGGCCCTTGCGAGGATCTCCGCGGTTTTAGAAGCTTGTGCTTCCAAAACGTCTACTTCAGTAACAAGCTTCTGTACGAATGCTGTGTCTGGCAGGTGCAGATGCTGCCCTCGCCGCTTGCCCCGCAGCGCCAGTTGCCGCGCCAATATAGCCGCTACTTTTGGTCGCTGGCCACTGTACTTGTGAGCTAGAACCACTGCCTTCACGCCAACTGGACCCAGACCCCTATGCTCACTCTGCTTGCGCACACGTGCACGCTGCCCTAAGACCTGCTTCAGTTCACGCCGTGTCGACAACAGGTCTGCCTTCAGTCGTTCGACTAGGCGCTGCTGACACCAAGGACAAGTCTTGCCTCTACCAGGTGCACATGCACATTGCCCTAGCAAAGCCATTGCCAGTGACGGCCAGTTCTGCACCCCCCATTGGGCCAAATACTCGGTCACTTGGCAATGATGTAACTGCACCTACCTCTGAAAACTGTCCGTCAAACCAGGTAGCACTCACTCCACGCACTATTCGTTTCTTTTCCTCACACGAAACTACTTTACATATTACCGTTGCCGGAGCTACGCCAGCTACGCATGTCGTTGTTGCTTTAAGTTTGGTACATCCAGTTCCCAACGCCATCAACCAGGGCACACACCAGCGCAGCCGGGCTGGAGGTCAGATTCCGGCCCCGAAAAACAACCCGTTTTTTTGCTCTCAACTCCAATCAAAACTCGGCCCCCCGTCTTTTCCAGAGACGGCGGGGGCTTACCGGACCTACTGCTCGACCTGCAGCAGTGTCGTAGGGCTGACCACATGCTTGCTACAGCCGACGAGCATGACGGGCATACTAAGAGCATTTTAAACTTTCAGGGCGAGCATGACGGGCACCAAAGCT